GGGGGGGGGGTGGTGTTGGGGGAGAGAGGCCAGCAGGAGCCTGGACGTGGTCCAGGATGCCCCCCAGGTGCCCTGCGGCCTCTAGTCCCACACGCGGCCTCTGGCCTCCGCAGGAGAACCACTACCAGCCCCCGGACCAGGACGCCTGCCTGCCCTGCGACTGCTTCCCGCACGGCTCCCACAGCCGCGCCTGCGACGTGGACACCGGGCAGTGCGCCTGCAAGCCCGGGGTCATCGGCCGCCAGTGCAACCGCTGCGACAACCCTTTTGCCGAGGTCACCACGCTCGGCTGCGAAGGTCTGTGCTGCCCCTTGGCCCCCCTCAGGCCCCCTCGCAGGGACAGGCTGCTGGGCTTCCGCGTGTGCGCGTGGGTGGGTGTGAGTGTGCACCGCACACCCCTGGGGTTTGGACAACACTCAGTTGCCTTACGGGCTGACCGCCCCCTTGGCCCTCTGCGAACCTGGCCCATGACTGGAACCGGGGTCACCCCTCGCCTGTCCTAACTACTGGGGGAAGATGCCATGGGTCCGATGAGGGGGGAGCGAGCGGAGAGCCCTGCGCGCCTGGGGCCGGGGCTGGACCGGGCTGAGGGCTTTCCCCCCTCTGTCCCCTAGTGATCTACAGCGGATGTCCCAGAGCGTTTGAAGCCGGCATCTGGTGGCCGCAGACCAAGTTTGGGCAGCCGGCCGCGGTGCCGTGCCCCAAGGGATCCGTGGGTAAGTGCCATGGCCCGTGGCGTCCGCTCCCCGCAGGGCATCGGACAGAGGCCCGTGGTTTGCGGGAGAGCCGGCCACGCGGCGGGACTCACGGGCGTTCCATGTCGAAACACCTTGTTTAGCCGAAGTGTTGGGGGCAAATAAGAAACTTTTTCCCTAATAATAAATGGCAAAGCTTGGCCGCGTAGGTGGCTCAGTAGCATGAGCATTGTCCCCTGCACCCGAAGGTCACCAGTTCGCTCCCGGTCAGGGCGCATGCCAGGTTGTGGGCTCAGCCCCCCCATAGGGGGCTTGCAGGAGGCAGCCGAGCAATGTTTCTCTGTCTCCCCCTCTCCCCTCCTCTCTTTCTTAAATCAATAAAAACGTATTTTAATAAAATAATAAAAAGAAAAGTAAATGACAAAACCTGGGAAGGACACAGTGGCCGCACACGGAGCACAGTGGCCGGGGGACATGGTGAACGTGGGGTTCTCTGTAAAATGGGGTGAGAGCCACGGCCGCCCTAGAGGGGTGTCGGGAGAGAGCGCACAGCCCGTGACAGGTGTGGGGTGCGCGTGGATTTCGTAGGTGCTCGGCGGGCGGGTGAGCCGGTCTCGTTCTTCACGGACTTGCTCAGCTGTGTGCCTGTCGTGGCCGGGCCCCGGCCCCCTGCCAGGCCTGCTTGTGGACGGCAGGAGCCTAGACGTTGCCCCGGGCGTGAGACAAGGCGCTCGTGCTGGCCCCGTGGCCGTGGCCCCCGCTTGGCCCTGGGCCCACGAGGGGTGTGCGTCACGCCTGGGTTCACGCCTCACCCGCACACACGGGGTTTGAGCGCATCCAGACGCACACGTTAAGTAGCGCTTAGAGTTTCAGGTTTCGGAAGTCTGTCCATCTCTGTCCCCAGGAACTGCGGTGAGACACTGCAGTGGGGAGAGGGGCTGGCGGCCCCCCGAGCTCTTCAACTGCACCACGGCCTCCTTCGTGCAGCTCAAAGCCGCGGTAGGGACCGGCGTGCGGGCAGGGCCCCCGGAGGGGTGGGCGTCCGGGCGGCCGGGACCCTACAGCCAGACACGGGGCGTGGCTCAGGGCCCGGCCCCTCTCTCTCCCCAGGAGCCTGCTCTGTGCCTGGGCCTGCGAACCCCGAGTCCCCAGGGCCGTGCCCCTGCCCTCCCTTCTCCCCCTTTCTCAGATTCCTCATGTGCTCTGGCCTCTTCTACGTGGTGTATTTTTTCCAGCTGCTTTTTGGCCCGTCGGACCCTCCTTTTCTGTACCAGTTATCACCAGAGCTCATTTGTGTGTTTTTTGGGTGTCTCAAGTTCTTTCCTGACAAGGCAATTTCCACGAGAAAGTGGTGGATTTCTGAGCAGGAAAGACCCCAGGCAACCACACAGTAGGTTTGCAGACATCGTGTTCGCGCTCTCGTTTCAGAAGGAGAAGCTGAGCCGCAATGAGACGCGGATGGATGGGGCGGGGTCCCTGCGGCTGGCCAAGGCCCTGCGCAACGCCACGCAGCACACGGCCACGCTCTTCGGCCACGACCTGCGCACCGCCTACCAGCTGCTGGCCCGCGTCCTGCAGCATGAGAGCGGCCGGCAGGGCTTCGAGCTGGCGGCCACGCAGGATGCCGACTTCCACCAGGTAGGGGGTCACGGCAGGTCGCCTCGAGGGGAGCCCCGCACGTGCGGGACAAGCCAGGAGCTCAGGTGCCCTGCAGGGGCTCGGGGGACGGCCGCAGCCCCGCTCGGCTGGAAGGATCACCGCACCCAGCATCTTCCCGGCAAAACTGCTTTTCCAGTGCCAGCCAGGCGGACCCCGGGGCCTGGGCATTTCAATCCAGGCCTGAGGGTGTGAGCCGGTGGGGCTTGTTCCCACTGCTGCATCTTTGCAAACAGACGTTCCCCCCCTGGTTTCTGGGTTGGGGTCCCCGAGCCCCCATGGTCAACCCTGCGTCTACCCCATTCTGCCCCACCCCATTCACATAAGGTGAGCAGGGCCGGGAGCATCGCCCGAAGCCACCCACAGTGTCACCCACAGCGTGCACTCTCGGTGACGGGGGGAGTGGTTCCCAGCACCGTTTTCTTGGTGGGGGTGGGGCTCTAATGTCACCATGGTGCCTCCCCTTTGCGCCTTAGGGCGCACACGCGACACCCCCGGCAGGGCTCCTCCCTGACGTCGGCTCCTGCCTTTGAGACTAGAACACCCACCATCTCCTCCAAGCTGGGGCCTGGCCCTGCAGAACCTGTTGGCCAGGCCCCGGGGGCTGCACCTCGAGCTGAGTGCTGTCTGTGTCTGCCCAGGACGTGGTCCTCACGGGCAGCGCCCTCCTGGCCCCGGGCACCCGGGCGGCCTGGGAGCACCTCCAGCGGAGCGAGGGGGGCGCGGCGCAGCTGCTGAGAGGCTTCGAGGACTATTTCGGCAACGTGGCCCGCAACCTGCGGAGGACCTACCTGAGGCCCTTCATCATCGTCACCGCCAACATGAGTAAGGGCCTCGAGCCAGCGGGGGGGGGGCACCTGTCAGGGGCACCAGCCCGGGCCCGTCTGCGGCGCGTCCCCAGCTCCGCCCTCTCTTAGGGAAGGGTCAGCAGTCTGGCCTCCGTTTCCTTGTCTCTAAAATGAGGCAGGACCTTCCTCGTCCAGCCGTGGAAACACACACGGCGCTCAGGCCAGGTAGTTGGGGACAGGCACGGGAGGAGATCTTGGTGGCCCGTGGGCCTTTTGGAGCTGGGAGGTCTAGGGCAGGGGTAGGGGACCTTTTTTCTGCCAGGGGCCATTTAGATATTTATAACATCCATCTCGGGCCATGTAAGATTATCAACTTAAAAATTAGCTATGAAAAAAGCCCCTAGATTTATTGAATTTCGAGTCCTGCCTGCGGTTGCCTTGGCAGGGCCAGACCAAATGGTTTACGGCCCTTGGGCTGGACGTCCCCCACCCCTGGTTCAGGGAGTGGGCCTGGGGGTCCGGCCGTGGGTCCTGTCCACTGCATTCGCTCTGAGAGGCCCAGGTCCAGGGACCAGGGACAGAGCGGCCCAGCGACGGGGCTGGGTCATCAGCACAGCAAACGCCTCCCGTGATCCAAGTCCCCCCAGGGCCCGGGACACGCTGCTCTGGGGTCGGATTAACCAGTTGGGCTCCTTCATGGGGAGAAAGCCCCAGAGGTAGAACAGCTCAGACAGGCTGGCAGAGGCCCTGGGGGCCGTCCTGGTAGGGGCTCCTCCTCTCCTCCTACACGTGTCTATTAAGCACCTTGTGGGGGACCCTCAGTCAGAACCAGGGATTGCCCCTTCCTGGGGTAGCCCCTTGATTTCCCCGAGTATCTGCCACTGGATGGGTCTGTGACTCATAAGCAGCATCCCTACCAGGCGGGGCTGGGGGCGCCCACTGCTTGAAGGTCACCCTCACCGTCCTGTTCGCCTCCAGAGCTGCCCCCAGAGCCCCGAGTCTG